AAATGCCTTGATTTATATATTGTTTTTGCATGCATGTATTTCTGCATTGGATTTTGTAATTTCTATCTATCTAGATCTAGTGTTACTTTATCTTGCTGTAAATTAGTTGTCTAGAATTATTTACGAGATACTGATCCAGTTAAAAGCATTTGTGTGAGGGGCAAAATAAGGGCGTATAGAATTAAAGGGGAAATAAGTCGGTAGAGGTGTGCCGGAACCAACGTCGTGGTAGGCCTGTAAAAAAAGAGGGCCCACCCATGAGGTGTAATGAAAGTATAGATAGAGGGAGTGGAGGGTGGGGACATGCGAGTCACTAAAAAATTTATGGGACGGGGGAAGGTGAGTAGGGGGGTTTAAATAGGGTAACATGCCGCTCCCACAACTGCAGGCCAAGCCTTTACATTTGTGTGAGGGGCAAAATAAAACATAAGATAGAATGGGAGTGACAGGTAAGGCCCTCTCTATGCCACAATGCGAGGCGGCTAACTATGAGTTGGCCCGAGGAGCGTAGTACCTCCGAGTAGGAGGATGGGTGTTGGCCTCGCGGGACCACTAACCTAAGGCGAAGAAGCCAGGGGGAATTACAACTAGTGGACACCTAGGACCCTGACAGCCAGCAACAGCTAACTAAGAGTGGAAGGATACGAGTGAGAGAGGGGATGTACTGTGTAAAGACAGCGGGGGGTGGGAGAAGAGGAAAAACGTTGATCGGCCGTAACTTGATGGCAGAGTGAGCCTGTCGGAGACCAGGTGGACAGGCTGCATGGAGTACGCATGGAAAACGGAGAATAGAAAGCATCTACGCGTGTCTAGCGCACGGGCTCATAAGGGCCAGAATCACGTGCCCGGTAACAAAACATAGCGCTCCTTCCGGCAAATAACGTATCACAAGTATGGTGGTCAGACGTGGCCCAGCCAAGCAGGGAAATTTAATTTTTAATCCCACCATACTGAGTCGATCGCAAAATCAGAACTAAGATAGACGTGCGTTGGGCCCCCCCTTTTTAAAAAAATTTTTTTTTATATATATATATTTTATTTTTATTTATTAATAATTATAAATGTAATTAAATTATTTCTGTATAATGACAACAGAAATTGTGGGAAGAGAAACAAAATCATCCAACCTTGAATAGAACAGACCTACTGCGAAAACTATGAAGGACTATGGCAGGTAGCCTCACAGTATAACTTGCCAGCATAACAGCATGCACCATGAGCAGTGACCAGCATGTGGCGCCATAGAGAACAATTACGAGTCCCATAATCCTCAGCCAGCAATGGTGAGGAAATATGAGAAGAAAAACAAAACAAACAAAAAATAGAATATGCGGTGTATGAGTAGCGTGCAGTAGAATGGTGCACACAATATCCCTGGCACAGATAATAGGCGGCCACCCTGTCCCACCTTGTGAAATACACGTGCAAAACGAGTACAATTTAATAATGTAACGTTAACGGAAAACTAAACACCAATAAATAACCCGCCAGCCGATTTTAGAACATACCAATCCTCAGAAATTAGTCCCGAAAATGACCATACAAAACATATATCCCTCCCTCCCTCTCTCACTAACTGCATGCTCCTACCATGAGATTAACGCTGTATAAGGAGTGTCTGCCTGCACATGGGTTGCCAGATCAACAGCATCCACACGGAAGTAAAACGGAGAAACCTGGACATTAAAAACAGAGGGACGCTCGTGGGAAAAACAGGCGAACGTCAGATACCCATGAACCAGTTGAGTAAGGAAAAACTCCCGAACGGAGAGCCCAACGCGTTCGGGAGTTGTAACAGAAAAACATGAGGAAACGAAAAACCACACACGAAAAGGGGGGAATAGATCCAGAGCGTTACGACGCCGTGGCGCAACGGTAGGGTAAGTAACTCACGACAGTAGAAAAGTAAAACCGGACGAACCAGCCAACCGGAGCAGACCCCAGAATGGACGAAAACAGCGGGGGAAGAGTAGGCCAGGTAAGAAGCACCACGAGGAACCTGGCAAGGAAGAGATGGCAACTGGACGTAGCGACATGCAAGTCGCTAGAAAAACGTATGGGACGGAGGAAGGTGAGTAGGGGGGTTTAAATAGGGTAACATGCCCCTCCCACAACTGCAGGCCAAGCCTTTACATTTGTGTTTTTTCCTGCCGATGGAGAGATGTGTGTGTGTGTATGTATGTATGTATGTATATGTGTATATATATATATACATATATATATATATGTATATGTATGTGTATATATATATATGTGTGTGTATATATATATATATATGTATGTGTATATATATATGTATGTGTATATATATATATATATATATATATATATATATGTATGTGTATATATATGTATGTGTATGTGTATATATATGTATGTATGTGTATATATATATATAAACATTAATAATTTTTTTGGGGTGGGGGGAGATATTTTTTACTTGAAAAATAACGCATACGGTGCTTGATGTATCATTTACCCAAAAATGTAACTTTGGTCAACTTATTTACTTATATACTTTATGTAAGTGAAATGCAGTCACTAATATCTGCATTGTTTCTTTCTCTTAGGGCGTGGAAGATGCTTTTTATACACTGGTAAGAGAGATCCGGCAGCATAAGTTACGGAAACTGAACCCTCCAGATGAAAGTGAAAAGGGGTGTCTGAACTGCAAATGTGTTGTATCTTGACTAAGGTAACTGTAACATTTCACCTTTGTATATTATCTCTGTAGTGATAGAAAATTGCCACATGGGGGAGCTATGTGCATGCTGGTACTTACAGCAAATGCTGACTAAAGCATTAATGATACAAAACAAACATGCCAAAATTACATTTACTACTTTTGAGCTGGTGAACTAATCTTCAACTACAGAAAAAAACCTAACTAAAAACTTATCCATTTTTATTTAAAAAAAAAAAAAAAAAAATTTAAGTAGACTTGGCATTTGGAATATTAAAAATCCACTTACATTGCAGAAATGTTGTAGCTAATGACAGTAGGCATGTTTTTTTATTTTTTTATCAACACTACCCCTCCAGTCAGGTTATACCTGACTGAGCACTTGGGTAAAATTACAATTGCCCATGTCACCCCTTCTGACATTACAGCTGCTGTTTTCCATTCGGTTTGAAACGGCAAAACATATGAAATACAATTATTAAAAGCCTGTTTTGTTGACATTTCATCTCTTTGAATTGTTAATAGTGATTTTCTACCTGTGCAATTCTACCATTTTCTGTGCAATTCTACCATTCAGGGTTAAACCAATTTCAAGCAGGGCACTCCAGGTACTATAACTACTTCAATGAGAGGAAACTGTTATAGTGCCTACAGTGTCCCCTTCAGTGTGAATGGCTGACTTTTTATGTAGGGAGAAGTAGTCCTCTGCCACATCAAAGCAAAACCTCTAAGAGCAAACTCAGAGCACCCATAACAACTACACTGAGATGTAGTGGTTATGGTAATTTGAGATTTTGTTTAAACCTAGGCTTTGACAAACAAAGTAAATAATTTAGCCCAAAAATAGCTTACCTGGAAGATAACTGCTGGCAATTTGTTTCAGTGCATTTATTTTGTCCTAAAATTAGCAATTCTCTCGTTCTTGGTTTTAGTGTATGTACTCCTACGTGCTTTTGAATAATTTTAAATGTGCATTTGGTTTTTTCATTTTCCTAGATGACATAAATTCATCTTCCTAATATATATATATATATATATATATTTTATTTTTTTATTTTTAAACACTCTCAAACACAGATCAAATCTTGGCAGAACCATCTTTTTGTTGATTTATGGATCTCTATATTATGAGTCTAAATGCATTTTTTTAATATAGTGTGTAACATAATACTGCAATTGCGGGGGTCTTTATTTTTTAATTTCTAACATTTTGATTGCTTATTTTTTATTTATTTTTTTTAATCTGTCCTAGATAATTTTTTTCTTTCTCATTTTGCAGGGTCACAGGTCAAGCTTGACCTTGACAGTATTTTTCTGCTGTTATCAACTCCATTCATGGCAGAAACCCAAGTGGATATGAAATAGAAGATACAACAAGACTGTGATCTGTAGGGAGTAGCTCCTCCCAAGCATCGCGCCAGAACAGCCTGGGACTTATGTGTCGATATCCAGTCATTTCAATAGTTCTCTGGGTATGTCAACTCTCCGCCAGGACTGATATTCTGCCAGCAAACGGGTTAATGATTATACATTCGTTGAACACCTCTCCCTCTCATAGAACAAAATAGCGTTGATAGCTGTTAAATGTTAACATGGCCACACTGGTTGACTTGTATCCGAAATTGAACTTTGCAGAAATTAAATCGACAAGAAACACCTTACATTTCTCACACAAAGTAAACATTTTCTGGAATCACATGGATCTTTTCAAAAGAACTATGGTCAATAATGTTCAGTTCATTTGCTTTGTCACCGTGTGTGTTTTAGCTAAAGATCTTCAAAAGCATATTGCAAACTTTGTTGAGCTATATTTAGCCAACATTTTGCAATCTAAGGTACGTATTTCTTTGGAGTGAGACTCTTTTTAGGTCAAGTTAAGCAACATGGGCATGATCATGTACAAAAGTATTTATACATTTCAAGTTTCATTTGTAAAACCGTAACGCTTAGTAGATCTCCTTTTCAAGGTCTCTTTAAGATGTTATGACAAGAAAAGAAAGACAAATGTTACCTCATGTCTCTGGATCACTAAACTTTTCTAGACCAAAAACCTCTTTTGGATTTTGTTTTTTTTTCCTAGTGTCATTCCATAGAGCTCTATTAACTTTTAATGAACCCCTAAAATTGTTACAGTAATAAAACATGAACAATTCACTTTTAGTCATACTTTTGTTTTTGTCGAAAGAACAAATCTACAATCTATTGGCCAAAGCGAAGTCTGAAGAATTTGGATCTCTTAAATTTATGTTGTTTACCATTGCAGCCCCTAAACAATGTACTATTTTAAAAAAAAAAAATTTTAATGCATTTTTAAGTGGATGTCACCTTGAAAATGAAAAAAGATTACGTGCCAATTAGGTGAATAATGGCAGTGGATTTGTGTATAGAACAAAACTTTAACGGTTCCCTCAATCACCATGCCTAGAAAATAGTGTTTTGCAAGCAGTTAGCAGTCGTGCCCAGAATTTGGTTAAACGTCTTGGTTCACACAGTTTTTTTTTTAAATTGACCGTGAGAGAATATATAAATGATACACGGTTTAACAGATTATTCTATGCAACTGATTCTGTTTTCAGATTAATGTTGGACATAGAATGTTTTATAGTGTTTGGGATCTACAGCTGATCGGAACTTTAGAACCAGCTGCATAGCTTGGCAAGGCATTAAATGGTTTTCAAGCAAGCTACTTTGACTACTCTATTTTAGTGTAGACTGCATTTTTATATCTCATAATGTGCTCTTTGAACTTCTCGAGACGCTAAAGGCCTACTAAAGTAGTATGGATTCAGTGGACCTTTAGTTTTAATCATGCAATCTAAAACATTGCCATGTAGTAGATATATAAATGTTATGATTGCAGGGTTGATGCACCTCGAGTGGCTGTCTTCCCGATAGCCATTAGAGACGCTTCTCTGGTGAGAAACAAGTCTGATTTGGTTCTCAATCAAATGCTCCTCATCGGGAGAATGAGACTGGCGCAGAGTGTTGATTTGCTGAAAATACACACTAGCCTCCCAATGTTTCCCTATAGGGAAGCATTGAATTGGCTGAGATCATCAATCTTGATGATCTCAGCCAGGAAGATGGGGCAGCAGCATGTTGACCAGCACAGTGAGAGCTGAAAGATGGATAAATATCCTTTATTAAAATTTATTGCAAACGGGAGTGGGGGCGAACACCTAAACATTTAGCAGGACACTAGCTTTAAGAATGTCTTTGTATTCCTAACGCCATAGAGTTCCTTTAACTTATTATGTAAAAAAAAATGCAATACTTGAGTTTACAGGTCTGAGGTAATTGCCATTGATTGCAGAGTGGTTTGTCTGCATGTTTTCACACTAATCACATGAAATAAGTAGTTGCTAGTCTATACCACACAGTATTTATTTAAAGGAACACTCCAAACACCTAAAGCTCTTTATCTTGCTGAAGTGCTTGATGTGTGAAGTGTTTTTGTAAAAAAAAAAAGTACACATTTCAATAGAAATTGACATTTTCATAAATTAACCTTGTTACGCCCCCTGTTACTTCCTCGTTGTTAAGCTCAATGGAGTCAAGCTCAAGAGCAGCAATTGTCTCATTGAGCTGTTTTGGGAAGTCTGTGATTGGACAGCCACAAAGTGTGGGTGGGGGAAGAAGGGTAGGGCTTGCAAAGGCAGCAGACAAGAGATAAACCCCCATGGAAAAATACATAACTAAACACACCCGTGTTTTTTTTTTTATTTTGGGTATATATACTATATAGTTTTTTTTGTTTTTTTAATATAATTTTTTTTTTGTATTGTCTCTGGGATAGCAACATAAGCTTTGTTACCTCAACATCTATTTAGGTGAAAAAGTTGGGACACTTGATTTGTGAATGACCTGTGTAATTGTATTAGATTACAAGATGATTTATTTGGAACCTTAATAGATAATTTGAAGTATAATACGAAGATATTGGCATTATAGGAAACAAAAAAGCACACCAACTCTGCCCCTTCCTATCAAAGGTAGAGGGCAAACCCAGGAACTGGATAAACACTGTAAGTTGTTAGGTATGTTTGCACTACATGATGCATATAAGGAGGTAGAAACCGTTGTTCTCAAAGCATAAAGGCATGAAGAATCTAATCGGTCTAAACATTGGTCTCTTCTAAAGTGCTATTCTGCATTGATGTAAAAACAACAACAAAAAAACATTTTTTTTTTACTGGGTGTACTCCATATGCTAAAGGATGCTGTTGGAGACAGTCCGTTACCACATTTTCCATCTAAACTATCCAATTAGGTATGTTTTAATGTAATGAATTTATTAAAGTTTTAGCTTTTGCATGCCATACATGTTACAATCAAATTAAAATAAGATGTTTTCCTGCACAGGAATATACAGTGCAAATTGTGTGTGTGTGTGTGTATGTATGTATATGTGTGTGAGATATATGCACACACATATTTGAAAGTCGTAATCTAATGTATCATTAACCCTTTTGCTGCAATGATGTCCTGAATGGAAAACGGTGTATATTTCTCTTGTATTCTCTTTAAATGAACACCATTATTTTAAAACCAGTATGTACATTGTATGCATATTCTGACAACAATTCTGGATTGTACTGAGTTCCTGAGAAGAAAAACAAAATTTCAGTTTATTTATTGTACATATTAGACCCGGCAGATTTGCAAATAAAGTTCTAGTTACTGAACACAATCTTTTTTAATTTATTATTATTATTTTTTTTTTTTCTTCTTGTTTTCTCCTTTTATAAGGTGTGGAGTGGCTTTACCAACTCTTTATACCTTAATGCTAAGGCTATGAAGCTATTCTTTAATTACACATGCAATTTCTAGTAAGAAATTAATACATTTGGGGTTTTATTTATTATCCCTTCTGTGCTTTTATGTATCAGGATATAATAACAACCTGTTCCAATCAACGATTCAGTTCCAATTAACAATCATCTGTTACCTACAGGGGGTCTTACATTTAGGTAAATACAATCTCAGATGAACAACAACACGTGACTTATCACACAGTGTCATGATTTAACAAACGTAAAGCCAAAATGGAGAAGCCATGTGTGTAAAAACAAAGTACACCCTTACTGCTTCAATAGGAATTAGGAGGCTAAGTAGCAGACTGATATTGCTAATCAAATGCCCTTGATTAATTGATCATCAGCAAGTGTGACTACCTTTTATAAAAGCCAATTGTTTGCAGTTTGCTGATCTGGATCATTCGGGGGTGTGTTAACACAAAGCCAACGAGGAAATACCTCCGTAATGATCTTAGAAAATAAATTGTTGCTGCCCATTAAACTGGGCTGGATTATAAGGCCATTTCCAAATAATTTAATGGCAATCGTTTTACAGTGAGAAAAAATATTCAAAAGTGGAAAACCTTGCAAAGTTGCATGTGAACAAAACACAAGACTTCTGTAACAATATCCTTCGGACAGACGAGACCAAAGAAGAGATATTGGCCATAATGCACAGCACCACATTTGTGCTGAGGATGTGTTTGGTTTAAGCTAAACATCTCATACCAACTGTTAAGCACGGTGGTGGAGGGGTGACTTTTTTGGACTTGGGGACCTTGCAGTCATTGAGTCAAACTCCTCTATATACCAAAGTATTCTAGAGTCAAATTTGAGGACATCTGTCTGACCGCTAAGTCTTGGCTGAAATTGAGTCATGCAACAGGACAATGATCCCAAGCACATCTCAAATCTACAAAAAAAATAAAAAATCAAGGTGTTGCAATGACCCAGTCAAAGTCCAGACCTTGACACAATTGAAATGCAGTTTAGGCACCCTTAGAGAGCTGTACATAAACAAATGCCAGCAAACCTCAATGAACTAAAGCAACATTGTGAAGAAGAGAAGGCCAAACCTCCTCCACAATGATGTGAAAGACTGATAAAATCATACAGAAAATAATTATTTCAAGTTCTTTCTGCCAAATGTGGTTCTACAAGCTATTGAACCATAAGGTGTCCTTAGTTTTTTTTACACATGACCTCTCCATTTTGGCTTGGTTAGAAGCATTTGTTTTAACCATATGTCATGGCAGAGGGTGCACCAATATTTAATTGCAAAACTTCTGGCACATTTAGACAGCAATACTTCCCCCTCCCCACCACCCAGGAATTTAAATTTTTTCTCAAAATAATTATTATTCACCAGATGCAGTTCCGCACATAACATAAAATACTAACAAACTTGTATCATTAATGCAGAGACCTATAAAGTTATATACTTCAGGGTAAAGAAAGCACAAGCAACGTATAACATAAGTGGTAGAGAATTAGGGATAACACATGAGAAGTATTTGGGAATTGTTACAGACCACAAACTAGGCAACAATGTGCAATGTCAGTCAGCAGTTGCCAAGGTATTGTTGCTGGATGAAAATATAATTTTGCCTTTTTATAAATCAATGGTAAGACCACACCTTGAATATGCTGGGCAATGTTTTGGCAACTATTCTAAAAAAGGATAATTTGGCATTAGCAAAGGTGCAGAGGTGTTACAATAGAAGGGATGGAACATTTTAGTTATGAAGAATGGTTTACAAATTTTAATTTCTTAGTTTAGAAAAACTGTACCTCGTGATATGAAAGCATGGTACAAATATATTTGGGGCCAATTCAAACCATTGTCTGGAAATCATAACCAGGACAATGCATAGGACACAAGGTCACACATTTAGGAAAAAAGATTTAGTCTAAGGCAAAGGAATGTGTTTTTTTTTTTTTTTAATAGTAAGAGCAATAAGGATGTGGAATTCTGTGCATGACTAGGTGGTTTTATCAGTGTCTATACAGATATTTAAGGAGCAACTGAATTAATACTTTCAAAAACATAATATCAAGGATATTATTTTTAAATTGTGGGGTAATTTTTTTTATCCAAGGAGATATTTGACGGCGGTTCTGGGGTCGAGGGATTCCCCCCCCCCCCTTAGTTTGTTGCAAAATTAGAAGTCTTTTAAACCAAGGTTTTTTTGATCTGCGTGATTTTTGGATATGTTGTTTACCCATATCAGGGCTATCAGGGGATGTAACATGTAATGGAATCATTGATGGAAGATACCTTGACCCCAAGCTTAAGATGACCAGATGTCCAGTCTTTACTTCTTACGTTCTGCTTTTAATTTTTAATCTAGTTTCGAGTGTCTGACAAATAAGCACAAGTAAGCATAAAATCATGACTTGTGACATTCTGTGGTTTCTGAGGAGACGATTGCAGCTTCCCCCATTAACCCCCCTTCTGATGTCCTAAAGTTTTTACATATATATATATATATATATATAAAACCATTGAAATATGCTTAGTACTGTAATTTCCCTTTTATGGTAGTGTGACTTCACCCATCCGTTTTTTGGTGCGCAAGTCACAAAGCTGTCTTTATAAAGTACTATATAATCTGTAAGCTTACACAATAAAATAAGGAAGTAATCTTTGACTCAAAAACTGCCTGGTCTGATTACCTTCTCCGAGCAGCTCGTAATTTAAAATGTTAATTTGGTTTCCACCTGAACATATCTCCGGGTAAATTAATTTCCTTAACAATCATTTATGGGGATATATTGTGTTTTGGGGTACTTACACTGGATTTTATAAAAATGTGTGTTTTATTCTGCCTGGGGATTATTAAGTTAATGTATTATCTGCCTTAGTTATATCACAGGCAGAGGGGAGGGTTTGTGTACTGTATGTGGGCGTGTCATTCATTGTCACATTGTTTTTATTGGCTTGTACACTTAGTGTCCCTGTGCCCAACAAGGTCCACCTGGGCGTCACCTTTGTTGGGAAACTTGCATAAAAGGCCAGTGTGCCTCCATTAAAATTGAGTTCCTGCTTAACCCTCAACACGTAGCTTGGTCTCGTGATTGGAGGGGAACTGCTATATTCACACCGGGGATTGCTATACTCCTTATACTCCCCATGGGTTCTAATCATTAGCTCTTGTAAGAGCTGTTTTCGCTATGCTCTCTGAAGTAAGAGAGGTCTTCCCGAACACGGTCCTGGATATCCGAGCTTGGTCCAGGATGGGAGGAAGACGGCGAGATTCCAGCTAAACTATGGCGGTTGTGGAGTCTGCTGTGCTTGTGGTGTCTGGTATGGTGCTTATGGTCCTCAGCATCAGCTAGGAAGCATCCGTTGGCGGAGGTACCCAGTCGGGGTGCCAGGTGATCCGTCACACCGCCCATAGGAAAACATTACTCAATGCTTTCTTATGGACTTCAGTGTCTTCCCACTGTGATTTTCACAGTGAGAATCGCGGAAGCACCTCTAGCGGCTGTCAGCGAGACAGCCACTAGAGGCTGGATTAACCCTCAGTGAAACAGCAGTTTCTCTGAAACTGCCATGTTTACAGCTGCATAGTTAAAACTAGAGGGACCTGGCACCCAGACCACTTCATTGATAATCCAATTGGCCACTCACCTCTCCCTTCAAAGGTGTTTATAAATTTGTAAAAGCTTTCTAAAATCTGGAATCTTGCAATATCTGCTATCTCCACAGGCTCAGGTGGGAGAATGTCACATGGCACTGTTTTATTTTTTTTTTATTTTTTTTATCCCCCTGAAGAAAATCGAAAGGCAAGTCACTGAAGCTACAGAATGGATATGTGGGAAAGCTTTCTTTGGCTCCAGTGGTTGTCTCCCAGACAGCCATTGGGGGCACTTCCTGGATCAAAATGGACCTTTGGTCCGGTAAATTACGCTGGACGTCCTCACGATCTGCATGAGGACATCCAGAGTCAGATTATTCCCCATAGGAAAGCATAGATTGAAAGCAATGCTTTCCTATGGTGAGGTCTAAAGCACTCTTGTCGCTGGATGTTGGAGGGGGCGTATCATCATCCCAGCGCCGAGGGACATCAGCGCTGGGATCAGGTAAGTAAATAAAGGGTTTTTAGCACTTTATTTACAGCTTTTTATTCCTGGCACTATAGTATCATTTTAAATTGAAATTACATCTGCTCCCTGTTTTTCATTAAAAGGGTTTCTCTAACTCTTTTTTGTTTAAATATAGAATACTGCCCTATTGGCATTATTCTATCAGTCACTTCCACCTCAAACACTCAAAGAGTGTTTTAAAATTAATTTTTACTCTTTTTTTTTTTAATTTCAAAGTGTATTGAAGATAAGCGTTTGTAACAGTATAGCATGTAGGTTATAAGTTCTTGACAGATGCGAATAATGAATGTGATTCATAGTACAGGACCCATAAGACCTACCAATTGTATAGGTGTCGTATGTAAAATAATCAGTGGTCGGGTAATAATAGACAGTGTTGGATCATCTACCATAAGATACAGTGGCAATCATACCTCGATTGCATAAGGTATGGGCAAGTTAAGCTCTAAGTTCCAACAAGGGAAAGTGTGCTCTCAAACAGTAGGTTGACAAACAGTTGTTGGTAAAATAACATAAATCGGCACAAACTAATAAAGGTCAGGACGCCTAAGCGACAGTACGATGGCACAACATTATATATGTGTGGATATGCACATGTATCAGAGAGATGTCGTAAAAATAAAATATGCAAAGCAACAAAACCTGTATACGTCTGAGGGACATTATAATATAACATTACGTAGGTAAGGTTGTGTACAGGTATAAAAGATGTAACGTAAAGAACAAGACATATATATGCATGATTGACATTACGATAGCACAACATTATACAGGCATATACATGCATGTGTAACCTGAAATGAAAAAAAATACAATTCATACATCAAAATAAGTTGCATAAAATAAGTCCTGTTATATAGGACACACATATATATATATATATATCTTCAACAATAAAATTGTGAGAGTACATTTCACCTCATTGAGAGAGAAAAGAAAAAAGGGGGGGTAAGGAGGTAAAGGAAGTGTCCCTAAACAATGGGGGATACGTGAAAAAATGTCCTGCTTTAAGACCCCTTCCTTGGGGGTTTGAAACCTATAACACGATATTTCCAGGGATGCATTACCACGGAGCATCCAAAAGAATGAGCATAGCTAAAACATTTTATGTACACATTAACCGTACCAAGTGGCCACCGAAGACACAAGTACCCCACTGTTTTCAGAGCCAATCCTTGCTCCCCCCACTCCTACCCCCACTGGGAACTCCACAGTACAGCGGCACTTGATGAAATTGCCAGTCTATGTGACTGCCCCAGTAAAGTCCACAGGCCAGTTGGCATCTACATTTCCACCTCACCCTGAGGGCTCCAATTGGGCAGATAGGGCATCTCCACATGTCCCCTCCATCACTGGACACACCTCTGGTGCATTGGCTGTACGGCCCCACAGCCACCAGTCTGCCGAAGGCCCAGCACGGCTCACAGCGATGGGGGGCATCAGTCTCCAGGCCTCTGGACAACCTAAAGGTAGAGTCCCCGCATATCTAACTGGGACAAGTCCAGTCAGGACTTTGCAGTACCGTGCCAGCAATCCCCCAGGGCACCTGCATAATACAGGAGCTGTTTGCTTCTTGAAGGAGTTGAGGTTTCTTCAGAGAACGTCTGGAGTGAGGCTGTGTAAGTAAAGCTGTGTCGTCTGTGTAGCAATAATATTAACAGCCACATCCAGCACTGTCAAAAGTGCAAATGTCACTGGCCATCTTTAGCGGCTCCCAAGAACACGTCCGATGGCGGCACAGGGCCCCAATCCACTTCCCTAGCAATCATTACAAATCTCAGCATCCACCACTCATGGTAGCTAAAAAAGAGGCAGTATATGCTAAGCAGACAGGTTGCAGACAATCTGGGCCATGTGCATGAGTTGGCCTAATATATTAGCGGCTCCAACTGCCATGGTATCGGTTCCCAAGCAGGATCAATGGTATGCCAAGGGGTCCCCTGCAGGAACCTAACTGTTGTGTGGGCTCAGGTGTGGTTCATGGGTGTGAAATTAGCCCTTTCATGAGCCCGGAACTCAAAGAGATGGCTGCTGTTCAGATCGGCGGCCTAGCCCCACCCACTAGTTGTACTCATCTTTATTAACTTAAGCTCCTGGCCTATGAGTGGAAAATTATAACTTACTCAGGGCACATGTGTGCACACTGAGTTGGCCAGCAAAGATAGGGGGAGGGAAATGAGAAGGAGTGAGGGCAGGTAAATAAAAATATAGCAAAGGTGATTGGGAGATGGAAGGGCTTCCCTATGTGTGGGTGGCAGGGGAGACAAGAGCTTCTCCTTTGCAGTCTATGCCCGCTAGAGAGAAGCAGTTATGTCTGTCACAAGCGTGCAGTGCATGCTGAAGACAGACATAGTTAAGGCACAGAATTGACATATATAAAAAATAGATGTGGCCTTTGATCTGCAATCATGAGTTGCTAAAACACTTTAAAACTTTGGAAAAATATGAAATTGGTGTGTTTTAAACTTACCCATTCAATATTCCCATACTCCCTTGGGTATCTATGTTAAGAAATGGTAGGCCTTTATGTGGTAGTTTGAACTAGCAAACTGCTAAAATGTTCCAAAATGGAACATGCACCCAGAATCAAAATGGAAAATTTGAAAACAACCTGAAATGCCTGTGTCTCAAATTTGCCCCTTCAACATCCACATATTTCTGGCACATGTAAACAAGGAGGATTTGCTGTGTTCAGGAAGCACATCTGATCAACATATTAAGTGTTATACTGCCATAGCAGGGATTACAAAATATGCAACAAAATCTCAATGTGTGTTAAAAAGGCAGAAAAAAAATGTTTATCACTACACTTGGTACAAACTAGTGAAAAAAATAGTTCCACAATCAGGTTTGAAATATGTAATTTGAGATACAGTAGGGTGTCCTCTTTAAGAAATGATAGGCTTTTGTGGGGTAAATTGAACTGGCAAAGGTCTTAAAAATAAGATAGCTTCATCAATAACATCTACAGATATTCACACTTTAAAAGCTGAAATGATTATGTCCCTTATATGGCACTGTCACTTCACAAAATAGTGTCAAGTTGCAGATTATTCTAATTTATTGTACCTATAATCTTAATTTTAGTAATGGCAGGAGGCGAAGATTTGCATAACTCTCTTTACTGAAACTCCCAAAAGCACAGGTCATAAGAGAACAACCAATCAAAAAACACTTCAATGTTATACAAAAGGACCTGTCACACATCACTTTCTCTTTCTTTGTAGGAACTAATAAAGGTAAGGTTCAAATGTCCAAAAAGTCCAAACATCAAACAATTGCAATCAAACATAACAACGATCAAGGAATCCAAACTCAAACTGTAGACGTGGAAACGTCCATAACAGGCGTAGATTGCAGAATAGATGTAGAAAACACTGATCACAATGAAAAGAAACAGAAAGAAGTGAAAGGCATCTGAAGTGACATTCTGTCTATCATACCATAACTGTCTATCTACTACTTAAGTTAGATGTAAATTAAATAGTCACCTAGCCTAACAATCTATCTAGCTACTAGAAGACGATAATACCATACAATACATATAATAACACCATATATGATCATACAATATCCTAATATCATAGAAAAAATGACAGAAATATTGAAATATAAAAATCCAAGGGTGGGAAGAGACAATAGGGTAGGAAATATTCGCCTCCTGTCATTACTAAAATTAAGATAACAGGCACACTACTTTAGCATAATCTACAATTTTATCACATGACAGGAGGCTTCATATTTGCAGTTTTAACGCTGAGAATTTAGAAAAGTGAAATAAGCGTGAGAGGACTGTCTGAAATAAAACACACGGCAGAGTAGATTCCCGTGACCAGTCCACGCATCGCATAATATCAGTTAATGACGCACCTGCTAAGAACGCTCGTGACGCTGCAGCTCCGCGAATCGAGAGGGCACCGAAGCTGGAATCTATTCCAGCCATAGACAAAAGCCAGCGGATCCAGCTGGCCAGAGTTGTAGTCGAGACTGGCTTATGGGTCTAACCCATGACACCAAAAGTTGGCCCCCAAAGGGCAGCCTGTAAGGTCGCCTAATGTAATCAAAAAGGCACATTGTATATGGTTGTTAAGCTCAACATAGTCCCACATAGCAATTACACATCAGTGTATGTCAATTTCCCTTGTGTCAGCAAACAGCATGTAACAGCCTAGCACGTATTGAATAACTTGTAGTAGGTACCTTAACTACGGATGGGACTCAGCACTGCAGTCTCCAGTGGGATTGCACAGTGAATATAGCTGTGAAGCTTATGTGGTGGGACACCGCCACTAAGTACTATGCCCACTGTAAATGCCTATGTGTTTGCCTTGTACTTTGTATCCCCAGTGTCTATTCCCACCAATTCCCTTTTTACTCTATGGTTCTCCATGTATCTCTATGGAATTGTTTTATTTGTGTGTTTCCACTTGTATTTTTACAATGCATGATGGATTTTACTTTTCAGCCACGTGGGGGCGCTCTGGCGCACAAAGCCCCATGCACCGAACCACCCCGATACTCCATTTAAAATGTGTGGTTAGAATGTTCACACCTTGCTAACGAGGTGTGAAAACCACAGACCACAAGGGAACAAGCGGCTGTTCTCAAGGGAACTAGAGAACAGCCGCTAGCCCATTTCCCCTACCTGGGAGCTACGAGGCTAGGCTCGTGGCTGCCAAGGAGAGCGCTCTCCCCTGTGTGGGGATATCCACCGGAGAGAGGGACGCTTGCCAGCAGCGAATCTCTGGAGCTGTGAGTCGGTCTCACGGGCGCAGAGTCTTGCTGGCCGCATGGAAGTCCGTTCCTACCAGTGGGAGAAGGAGCGCCAATTCAAACTGGGTTCGTGCCATTCTCCTGGTTGGTCGGCATGAGTTAGCGCTGATTGGTCGCCGCAGGGAGCGGGCGACCATTCAGAGAAGGATCGCTTTTTTAAACAGGGTTTAGCGCCCTTTCTTCTGATTGGGCAGAGAATTGGTTTCTTGTCCCTGGGCGCTGATTGGCGCGAATTGGTTTCGCGCCTTTCAGCGGATTGGTGCAATCGGGTTTCACACCCTATCTTCTGATTGGGCCGCAAAACCCCTCTCCTCCCTGAGCACCGATTGGTGCAGCCGAGTTTCGCGCCCTTTCTTCAGATTGGGCGGCGAAACTCCTTCCTCCCCTGAATGCTGATTGGCGCGATTTGGTTCGCGCCCTTTCAGCTGATTGGTTGTTGCTTGGTTTAGGCGAGTTTGAATTTGCCGGACTAAACCAAGCAACACAATGGAACTAATTTCAATGGAACTAAGTCTGCAGCCTTAAGCTCCAGACTTTCGAGCCAATAATGGACAAATTGTGCCAGAAGATCTGGCAGTGTCCATACCTACGACCTGAGGTGTGGTATAGTGCGTGGATCGAACGTGGGTACCCCCATTTCGGTCTTGGATGGAGGTGTGCAGATACCCTTTTCCTGATATTCGTCACCTAGCAGCCCCAGAGACCAGCACAAGATCGTAGTTCCTATCTTCTGGACTCTGTACATACAGGAATTTATCCAAGCTTGGACTTATATTTATTGTTAAGACACCCCTGGCACAGAGGAGTGAAACCGCGGTTTAGTTAAGCTTCCCCTTCCTCAGTAATGCAGGCTCAATTTGTATATATCTCAACCGCACGAACTGAAGCCAAGGGAATGCGCCAATCTCCCGCAAGGGATCCGTACGAGTCCTCCAAACTTCCGAACAATAAATCCACGAATCGCGGCTAACAGCCGAACAAATATATCCTCCAAGTGGCTTACGTTTCCAGCAATCAGTCGCTAACCGTGTGCTAACCGTGTGTAAATCCCCCCAATAACGAGACCAAGCTCCGCATTGAGGGTAAAACAAGAACTGGCTTTACTGTGGGCTACCCGCCCGTATTTATGTAGGTCTCCCACTTGGTGGACACTCCCCTAGGGGACCAAATGAGAGACTGTAGTTACAGACATGTAGCACTTTAGGACATACAGGCACAGAATATTCCCACAGTGCATCTTGGTTTCCTCCCCGCTGCCCTGGGGATTATTGAGAAGTAATTCAATTATCTCCCAGGACAGAGGCAAATCGCCATTTTAAATGAAACATAAAAAACACATAAAAATAAGTAATTATACAACTACCGAACATATTACATTCGTGCAACGTATCCCCAGATAGCCTGGATCTGAGTGCATATTCCTACCGAATAGTGCTCAGATCCCATACGCACAGTTCAATCGCCATGGAGTCAAAGTCTTTTACAGTCTTTTGGTATGCGATTGACTCCATGGGATAGCTATCTGGGTTAAGTCCAGTCGTATAATCCAAACTCCTTAATGGAACGGTGTTCACATGCCTTGACGAATGAGAAGGGCAGTCAGTAGTCTCAGCGGTGTTCGGTAGAAAAAGTGTCCGTTTTTAGTTCCATAGAATCTGCGCCGAACACCGCTGGTCTCTTGCATGTTTTAAAACGGCCGCCGCCTTGTGGTCGGCCTACGAACGACGACCACCCTGCATTCGGTTATAATTAAGAGGTGTCTGCGGTTAACCACAACGTTCTAATTGAGGCCAAGAGGTTAACCAGCAGCACACTTCTCTTCTGGGTGGCCGTCCGTTCGGTAGTTTAATTCGG